TGTTTTGCATGAATATTAAATAACAAATAAAACGCTTCACCATATTATCATGTTTGTAATTATTATCTTATTGCTTAAATAAACCGAATTGCGTTTTTTGTGCGGCAACATACAGTTCCTGCATAACTTTTATTTCCTTCGACACATGTTACTTCTTGGTATTGAGTGCGGAGGGGCCCGCTTCCCGAGATTTTTTCAATGAGTTCATTTCTTTTATTTTAAAAATTTCAAAATTTTTTGACAAATTTTGAAGTCATTATCAGTACATTTTTCAATAAACCAAAAATCTGTCCCGGTGTGTGAAAGAATCTTTTCTCTCCGTCTTCCCTCTTGTAGGTATAACAATCATTACAAAAATACTTAGAATGGGCCCTTTAATTTTCCCCTCACTTGCTGGTTTTTGGGAATTTTTTGAAAATTAATCAAAGGAAATGACCTTTTTTTCAAAAATAAAAACACTGATTGAAGGGACAAAAACTTCTTATCATTCCCCCATCCTGATTTATAGGGATCTCTTCTGTTCCATTAACAAAGTGTGCCTTTAGTTCCTCATAATTCTTCAACAGTTGGGATACAAATGGATACTTGATGTTTGGAGAACTTGTTTTAGCACTGATACTCTCCTCTGTGAAATACAGTGAGAAAAATAACAATATTAGACGCCAATATGTAGAGTTAACAATTAGTACTTTCCTGAGTTGCTACTTATGAGTAGTTACGCAGATATATGCTGATAAATAGTTTTTATTTAGGGGTGACCTTTTTTGAAAAATGAGAGGAATTAGGGACTTTTTCACTGTTTTGAAACAAAAGTTCATCGATTTATGTCACAGGAGATGGTTTGTTTTTAAAAAAGTAAAAACGTTATGACCCTAATTATATATATATATATATATATATATATATATATATATATATATATATATATATATATATATATATATATATATATATAATACATACATAACATACAAACAATCGCAGACAGGCGATCTTAAATACGCAAGACAAGCCACGGGGGGGGGGGGGGAGAATTTTTAGCTCAAGTACTTTCACAGTTCTCAGTGTGTCCTCAGGACCTATGGAATGTTGCAGGACAGCAACTGAATGAGGGGAAGTTTTGTCAGAGAGCAGTGCAGGTTTGTCACCTGCTGCAGCCTCTCTCGGAATGACATTCCGAGAGAGGCAGGGTGACCCAAAAGAAAGAAAAGCCCCCTCCCCCTCAAAAAAAATTTCTCATCATTCAATACACCATCACTCATACATAATCACTGTCTTTGCAGAGGCGCCCAGATACGACAGTTTAGATTGTCACTCCATACTACCTATATCCCAAATCCGTCCTTTACAGTGCAGGCATAGTACTTCCTATTTCCAGGACTCAAGTTCAGCTATCCGGTTTCCTTGAATCTCTTCACTAAATATTACCCTGCTCACACTCCAACAGCTCATCAGGTCCCAAAAACCATTCATCTTCATTCACTCCTAACACATGCACTCTTATTGGAAATCCAAGCCCCTCGCCCACAAAACCTCCCATACCCCCTCCCTCCAACCTTTTCGAGGACGACCCCTACCCCATCTTTCTTCCCCTACAGATTTATACGCTCTCCAGGTCATTCTACTTTGTTCTATTCTCTCTAAATGACCAAACCACCTCAACCCCTCTTCAGCCCTCTGACTAATACTTTTAGTAACTCCACACTCTCAAATTCTCTGGTACCACTATACTTTCATATATTCCTTTCTTTGCTTCCATAGATAACGTTATTTATCTCCACATATACCTCAATGCACCACTCACCTTTTTTTTCTTTCATCAATTCTATGATTAACCTCATCCTTCATAAACCCATCCACTGACACGTCAACTTCCAAATATCTGAAAACATTCACTTCTTCCATACTCCTCCTCCCCAATTTGATATAAAATTTTTCTTTATATAAATCATTTGATACCCTCATCACCTTACTCTTTTCCATGTTCACTTTCAACTTTCTGCCTTTACACACATTCCCAAACTCGTCCACTAACCTTTGCAACTTTTCTTTAGAATCTCCTATAAGCACAGTATCATCAGCAAAAAGTAACTGTGTCAACTTCCATTTTGTATTTGATTCCCCATTATTTAATCCCCCCCTCCAACACCATAGCATTTATTTATTTTACAACCCCATCTATAAATATATTAAACAACCATGGTGACATTACACATCCCTGTCTAAGACCCACCTTTACCGGGAAGCAATCTCCCTCTCTTCTACACACCCTAATCTGAGCCTCACTATCCTCAAAAACTCTTTACAGCATTTGGTAACTTACTACCATATAATTGCAACATCTGCCACATTGCTCCCCTATCCACTATCATATGCCTTTTCTAAATCCATAAATGCAATGAAAACTTCCCTGCCTGTACCTGAATACTGTTCGCATATATGTTTCAATGTAAACACTTGATCTACACATCCTCTACCCACTCTAGAACCTCCTTGATCATCCGCAATCCACCTCTCGTCCTACCTCTAATTCTTTCAATAATAATCCTACCGTACACTTTACCTGGTATACTCAGTAAACTTATTCTCCCATAATTTTTACAATTTCTTTTGTCCCCCTTCCCTTTATAAAAAGGAACTATACATGCTTTCTGCCAATCCCTAGGTACCTTCCCCTCTTTCATACATTTACTAAACAAAAATATGAACCACTCCGTCCTGCCAAATGCATGTGAAACGGAAATCTGTTATTTTACACAATGGTAGGAATGCTGGTGTCTTTTTCTTCTGTCTCATAAACACGCAAGTGAACATGTATGTCTTGCTACTTCTAATGACACTTAGGCACTCTAGGTACACATGTACTCGTACATTTACACACCCCGATCTGAATATTTTTCTTTTTATAAATAGTTTTTGTTCTTTTTTATCTCTTTTCATCGTCTTGGGAAAGTGGAAACCATGCGTGCAATTGGCTAACCTCTCCTCCCGTATAAATTACTAAAAATACCAAAAAGTACAGAACTGTGATGTTTGAATGTGCGTGGATGTAGTGCAGATTAGAAAGAGATGTTTGCCAATGTAATGAATGAAAAGAAGTTGGATGTCCTAGCTTTTAAGCGAAACAATGCTGAAGAGGGAAGAGGAGTTTCGGCTGGGAGAAATATGTGGGATTAAGTCAGGAGTATCAGAGATAGATCAAAGGAATGAGTAGCAATAATGTTCAAGTATCAATGTTATGGAAGGAGAAAAGGGAATATAAATGTATAGATTCAAGAGTTATGCGAATTACAACAAGTGTTAGACGAAAAAAGTGGGTCATAATAAGTGTGTATGCACTTGGAGAAGTGCGGAGGAGAGAGGAGAGAGAGGGGAGAGAGAGAGAGAGAGAGAGAGAGGAGAGAGGAGGAGGAGAGAAGAGAGAGAGAAGAGGGGAGAGAGAGGAGAAAGGGGGGAGAAAGGAAAAAAGAGGGATAGAAAAAAAATTGGGAGATATTAAGCGAATGTTTAGAAACATTTGAACCAAGTGAGAGAGTAATTGCAGTAGGGAACCTAAATGCTAAATTGGGAGAAATGGCTAAAGTGGGTGTGGTAGTTGAATTTTGGGTGCCGGGTGTAAGTGAAAATGGATTGGGGAGGAATGCCCTTGACTAAACTTTGTATAGGGTGCTGGCAAGATGTTTTGGATTAAGAGGTAGAAAATCTAACACTAAGTGGGAGTCGTCACAGATGCTGTTTCCTGATGACACTGTGCTTTAGGGAGATTCTGAAGAGAAGTTGCAGAGGTTGGTGAACGAGTTTGGAGGGATGTGTAAAAGAAGGAAATTAAAAATGAACGTAGAAAAGAGCAAGGTGACGAGGATAACAAAAAATTTGGGTAATGAAAGAATGGATATCTGATTGGAAGGAGGGAGGAAGGAGGAAGTGAATGCATTCACATGTTTGGGAGCGGACTTGTCAGCAGATGGGTTTTTGAAAGACGAGGTGAATCATAGAACTGATGAGGGAAAAGAGGCGAGTGGAACACTGAGGTGACTGTGGAGACAAAGAACGTTATCCATAGAGGCAAAGAGGGGAATGTCTGACAGAATAGTTATACCAATAATTTAATATCGATATGAAGCATGGATGGTGAATGTTGCAACAATGAGACGGTTAAAGGCAATGGAGATGCCATGTCTAAGGTCACTGTGCGACGTAAATATAAAATAGAGAATTCCTAGCTTGGGAATTAGAAGGGGGTGTGAGGTTTCTAAAAGTATTATTCAGAGGGCTGAAGAGAGGGGTTGTTGATGAGGTTTGGATGTTTAGAGAGGATGGAACACAATAGAATGGAGGGTATATGAATCTGTAATGGAATAAAGGCGGGGTAGGGAGAGGGAAAGGAGATTTTCTGTGCGAGGGGCCTGGACTTCTAGCAAGCTTACATGACCGTTTTAGATAGAAGCGAATGGAGACAAATGGCTTTTATGATTTACGTGCTGTTGGAGTGTTGGCAAAAAAAAAACATTTATGAAGGGATTCAGGGAAACTGGTTAGCCGGAATTGAATCCTGGAGGTAGCCTGCGGTCTGAAGAAGTTCACGACTGCAAAAGTCGTGAACTGATGGCAGAGTCCCCCCCACCAGAAGACTTGATTATACATTAGAATATATTATAGACAAAAACAAGGAAAATTGTTCTGTATAATACGACCTATGTCTTAGGACCTCTGCAGCGGTGTCCTGAAGAGGACATCAAACCGAGGTCAAAATATACCGAACATATATTTTACTGTCTCCATGTGTGTCTATTACTATTAATAATCAGTGTTCATAACAATTCCTTGGTCGACCACATCAAGACACCTTGATTTTTTTTTTTAATTTTATATCACTCATTACAATCATTTAAATTATTATTATGACTTTTGATAAGGATAGAGGAGACTTTTTCCGTATTTTATTTACCCTGAATTCACTTCCTAAACAAGTCCATTAACGAAACTTCTCTCTTCAGGTAATGGTGTGTATAGCGCTCCTGGCTGAATGGTCTACTTCATCTTCTACGGAGGCGCCCACGATTTACCACACTATAAAGGTTCAGCAGCGAGTTTCCAGCCACCCGAATAATGGCAGCGAATTCATAGATATAATCAACACTCTCCTGCCGGACATATCAAAACTATTACGAGACATTAAGGCTAAATCCACCGACACTTCCCTCCGCCAAGCAAAGCGCTTCCAGAGCCTTATTGAATTATTACTTCCTCTCATCAGGAGGATAGTCGAATTCCAGGCCGAAGACGAAGGCCGGCAGGTTAACCAGGAAGATGTCGAGATGCTAGATAATGTAGAACTTGCCATAAAGTATCTAAATGAACTAGCAGAATCGGATTTCCAATTAGAAAATCATCCAGACACCCAGATGGCAGACTACACAGAAATCCGCTTACCTGATTACACCAAGGTCCAGACAGAAATCCCTGTTCCAGGAAAACTAATTACACACTCAGGTGTCAAAGAAACAGCAGTTTCTAAACATGAGCTATCACACAAAAGCAAGCCAATTTCTCTTGAAGGTTATGGAACCAGAAATATTAGGCCTGTGAGAAAAGTACCCACATCTATAAGACCATTTGAAAACTTACCTTCGCTCGATCAGATACCTGTGAAAGACATGCTCATGGAGATTACAAGTGCCAAGACAGGGATACCACTAAACATTAAGAAGCCTACGACCACAGTACTTCCAGGTTCATCCTACAGGCACATTCCTGCTTCCAGGTGGCTGAGACAACAAATGTCAGGAAACAAATGGGTATTGGAATCGTCTTAAGGAACACCAATCACTTGTTTTGAGTCTTCTTCCCCTTATATAGCAATCAGTCTTCTTAATTACTGTGTAACTCATTCACGCAGGGTTTGCAGCTCATTTCTAAGTTAGGTTGGATTATGTTCAGTTACAACCGAGAAAACTGTAAATGCAAGATTAAAGACGATAAAATAGGTTTCCGTTTTCTGTAGTTAGGAGGATGGGATATGTAAAATATATATAAATAATTATAATATATATATATATATATATATATATAGATATATATATATATATATATATATATATATATATAGGTTTTATGAACAAGTTTACATAACATATATATATATATATATAATATAATATATATATAGGGGGTATGTAGAACAAGCGTTTACAGTGGAACATAGGTGAACAGTACATAGATGAGGGTAAGGAGTTTTTTTTGTGGAATTTATGGATTTGGAAAAGGCGTATGACAGGGTGGATAGGGAGGCAATGTGGCAGATGTTGCAGGTGTGTGGTATAGGAGGTAGGTTACTGAAAGCAGTGAAGAGTTTTTACGAGGATAGTGAGGCACAAGTATGAGTATGTAGGAGAGGGAGATTATTTCCCAGTAAAAGTAGGCCTTAGACAAGGATGTGTGATGTCACCATGGTTGTTGAATATATTTTTAGATGGGGTTGTAAGAGAAGTAAATGCGAGGGTCTTGGCAAGAGGTCTTGGATTAAAAGATAAAAAATGTAACACAAAGTGGGAGTTGTCACAGTTGCTCTTTGCTGATAACACTGTGCTTTTGGGAGATTCTGAAGAGAAGTTGCAGAGGTTGGTGGATGAGTTTGTAGGGTATGTAAAAGAAGAAAATTAAAAGTGAATACGGGAAAGAGTAAGGCGATGAGGATAAAAAAAATTAGGTAACGAAAGATTGGATATCAGATTGAAGAGAATATGGAGGAAGTGAATGAATTCAGATATTTAGGAGTGTAAGTGTCAGCAGATGGGTCTATGAAAGATGATTTGAGTCATAGAATTGATGAGGGGAAAATGGTGAGTGCACTTAGGAGTATGTGGAGACAAAGAACTGTGTATGGAAGTAAAGAGGGAAACGTATGAGATTATAGTTATACCAACGCTCTTATATGGGCGTGAAGCATGGGTGATAAATATTGCGAGGCAGTGGAGATGTCATGTCTGAGGGCAATGTGTGGTGTGAATGTAATGCATATAATTCGTAGTTTGGAAATTAGGAGGAGGAGGTGTGGGAGTACTAAAACTATTATGCAGAGGGCAGAGGGAGGTGGTTCAGACATGAAGAGAGAATGGAACAAAATAGAATGACTTCGAGAGTATATAAATCTGTAGTGGAGGGAAGGCGGGGAAGGGGTCGGCCTAGAAATGTTTTGGAGAGAGGGGGTAAAGGAGGTTGTGTGAGAGAAGGGCTTGAACTTCCAGCAAGCATGCGTGAGCGTGTTAGACTGGAGCGAATGAAGGAAAATGGTTTTGAGGACTTTACGTGCTGTTGGAGTGTGAGCAAGGTAAGATTTATGAAGGGATTCAGGGAAACCGTCAGTTCGTACTTGAGTCCTGGAGATGGGAAGTACAGTGTCTGCACTCTGAAGGAGGGGTGTTAATGTTGCAGTTTTATAACTGTAGTGTAAAGCACCCTTCTGGCAAGACAGTGATGGAGTGAATGATGGTGAAAGTTTTTCTTTTCTGGGCCACCCTGCCTTCGTGGGAGACGGCCGACGTGTTTATATAATATATATATGTCGTGCCTAATAGGTAAAACTGGTCAATTAGCAAGAACTCTTTTAAAATTAAGTCCTTTCTAAAATTTTCTCTTATACGTTTAAAGATATATTTTTTTCATTAATGTTAATGTAAAAGTTTATAATTTTGCACCGAAAGAATCTTAGAAAAACTTACCTAGCCTTATTATAACAAGCGCAATTTATTTTAGCCTAATCCAACTAAGTATATTTTAGATACTTTTACAATAATTTAATAATAAACAAACACAATGAAATATAGTTTTTTCGTTAAGTTCAGAATGATTTTTGCGAAATTATTGCATACACAAATTTTCGCTTGTCTTATATGGCAAGATGAGCGTTGCTATTTAAGCCAAGATCGCAAGTTCTGCCTATTCGGCACGACATTATATAAATAAATAAATAAATATAATAAATAAATAAATAAATAATATATATATATATATATATATATATATATATAATATATATATATATATATATATATTACCGAAAAGGGTGCTGAGATTATCAATTATCAAGTAATGGTATTGTTTACTGTACATAAGCCTTTCTACTTAAACATGAAAAAAACAATACACGGGTCAGTTTAATTTTTGAGTTTCGATTTTTTTTTAATTCAAGGGAAAACAGGTGAATCCGATTCAATAAAACATCGTTGACATTTTGACTTACGAGGAAATGCCCTCATAATTTACACCAAAGAAAATGCTTAGCTCTTGGTCCTTGGACAGTGTTTATGAGAAACGATATTAACTCCTCAAGTACACTACACGGAACCCACACCTTTCTTCTTCTAGTTGATTCGCCGGTATTCTCCCGGCCCGGGTCTTTTCCAAGTAGTGGCCCGGCCTTGGCTCCCTGTCTAGGGAGTGTCTGAGACCTAAGTCTCCCATGGGAGGAGGCACAAGTACCTCCTCATCGTTGGTACAAACTGTCCCCAGGCCTAGTCACATTCCCCGCCCTCACTGGGCTCGTAGAGAGAAACTAGGCCTCTCTGGTCTGCCATCAGGGAGAGACTAGGCCTCTCTGGTTTGCCATCAGGGAGAAACTAGGCCTCTCTGGTCTGCCATCAGGGAGAAACTAGGCCTCTCTGGTCTGCCATCACCACCCAAAGGGGGCTAATGGGAATGGCAGTTTTGTGAGCTGCAAGCTCTTTCTCAGGCACCTACCCTGCCCTAGAAGAGCTGGGCATGGTGTCGAGTCATCTCCTTTTAACATCCTGCCACGTAAAGGCGACCTTACTTCTGGTGGGGCTGACGGGTGGAGTCGCTTTCACAAACACTGAGCTGAACCAACTGTGTTTATGAGAAACCAGCGAGTGATTGTGGCCATACTTTAAACTCAGCTTTAAAACAAACTGAAACATAATACTGATTTCAGAAAAAAAAACGGTATTTGACTTGTTTTACCATTTATGGCCACTTCAACAGATATATGAAATCTCGTGAACTTTGTTTCATTATCTTACGAGTGATGAGGGATGTTGACGGTCGTCTGCTGGGAAGCTGCTCTCTCATGGGCCACAATCTTACGACTTGAGATTTTATTAAAAAAAATAGCCAGTTTCCTTTAAATTTTATACACAATGTTTGTTGATATACCTTAACTCCTATATTAATATATTTACTGTTCTACCTCGACAAGGTACTGTGATATTCACAACAGATTCGACTGAGAACTAGGAAAAAGCTATTGTACAGATATTTTTCATTTCTCCGGTAATTTCCACAATTTATAGTTCCATATTGTCCGTCAAATTCAGTGTCACCGATTACTGTTACTCTTAAGAAACTCAACAGTAACAGTAACTTGTCGGTTTTCAAAACCATTCATCACATTAGTGGAATAAGTAGTTTTGGGAGTCGAACATAATGTAAAATTACTGTAGAAGTGAGGACACTTGATACAGTTTTGTAGGGCTGATCATGCTTCTTGTCGTCAGTAGCCGCCATTACACTACACAAAGTGTCGTGTAATGGCGGCTACTGTAATGTTTGTGAATTAATTCAGTTGCTCAAATACCGGAATTCTAAACAATTCAAATCAAAATCCACCAACAGGACTAATCCGTAGTCAAGACTAATCTGCTATATACAAGTTTAGACAAATCACCAAAATCACTCTCCCATATAGAAGTGTTAAGATAAGATTAAAGAATAGTTCTGAGTAATCTGTCTTAACAGGTTATACATGATATACCCATCAAGGGACGTTATCATCTTCAAACAACTTCTAAAGTCTATTATGAGGTTTAGTTAGATGTTAATTTATCATGCATGTTTATATACGTTAGGCACATATTTATTTCTTATATATACCCATTCATATATTCATGACATTTTGTATATTCACTAATTACAATATTGTATTTATTATGTATTTCATGTTCCAAATAAATTTTTATAGAAAAATATTTTAGTCACTAAAATTATGGATTTGATCATTTCTATGTAAAACCCAATTTAGGCCTATCCTTTAATAATTAAAAATGATGTAGAGAAGTATTTTGAAATCGGGTAAGAGTAAGAAATCTTGTTGGTTACCAGTAATGTCGAGAACAAAGGTGTCACAGAATAACAACTGGTAACAAGCTATAACAATGGCAATGCATAACAATAACAATGAATAACAATGGAAAGAGAATGCAACATACTAGGAAATAACATAACTGAAAGAATGTTCAAGTTTAACAAAGCTTAAAGAAAGACATTTTTTAGGCAAATAGAAAGCTATAAATGGTAGTGTTTATAGCAAGTATGAAAGCTAAAAATGGTAGTGTTTATAGCAAGTATGAAAGCTAAAAATGGTAGTGTTTATAGCAAGTATGAAAGCTAAAAATGGTAGTGTTTATAGAAAGTATGAAAGCTATAAATGGTAGTGTTTATAGCAAGTATGAAAGCTAAAAATGGTAGTGTTTATAGCAAGTATGAAAGCTAAAAATGGTAGTGTTTATAGAAAGTATGAAAGCTGTAAATGGTAGTGTTTATAGCAAGTATGAAAGCTAAAAATGGTAGTGTTTATAGAAAGTATGAAAGCTATAAATGGTAGTGTTTATAGCAAGTATGAAAGCTAAAAATGGTAGTGTTTATAGAAAGTATGAAAGCTAAAAATGGTAGTGTTTATAGCAAGTATGAAAGGTAAAAATGGTAGTGTTTATAGCAAGTATGAAAGCTAAAAATGGTAGTGTTTATAGCAAGTATGAAAGGTAAAAATGGTAGTGTTTATAGAAAGTATGAAAACTATAAATGGTAGTGTTTATAGCAAGTATGAAAGCTAAAAATGGTAGTGTTTATAGCAAGTATGAAAGCTAAAAATGGTAGTGTTTATAGCAAGTATGAAAGCTAAAAATGGTAGTGTTTATAGCAAGTATGAAAGGTAAAAATGGTAGTGTT